GAGCACGGTTTGGCAGAGCTGTTGCCGGGATCACTCTCAGTGCCCAGTGGCGTCTCCTACCATGGTTTGCAAAAATTAAAGTTGAGACATGTTTGGTCCTCTAAATCTCTTAATCAATTCTGCACAAAAACTGTGCTAGTCTAGAACTTAACTAATACATTCTACATTTTAATTTCAGTTTTTCTAATGCTGGATGGGAGTATCAGTGAAGATCGTGGATGGCTCCTGGGCAGGCTGTTGTCTACATCTGCTTTGAAGGCAAAGAGGTAATCACAGCAGCAGGTTGTTATGAAGTTAACAGGTGCCTTTGCTGTATCACGTACAGAGCCAGGGCTTCAGTTGTTTTGAATATTTGAACTGGCCAACAGAATATCCAACTCAGGATAGTAAAAGTTTATCTTGACAGCTGGCAAAAGTTTCATTTAACAGTGCCAGGCTTAATTCCATTTTCTACTGCATAGATCACAGAATCACTAGGTTGGAAAGGACCTTCAAGATCATCAAGTCCAACCATTAATCCAGCGCCACCATGTCCCCTAAACCATGTCCTGAAGTGCCACATCCACACATTTTTTGAACACTTCCAGAGATGGCGACTCCACCACCTCCCTGGGCAGCCTGTTCCAATGGACGGCCACTCTCTCGCTGAAGAACGACTCTCTCGGTGAAGAAATTTTTCCTAATATCCAATCTAAACCTCCCCTGGTGCAACTTGAGGCCATTTCCTCTTGTCCTATCACTAGTTACTTGGAGAAGAGGCCAACACCCTTGTCGCCACAACCCCCTTTCAGGTAGTTGTAGAGAGCGATAAGGTCTCCCCTCAGCCTCCTCCAGACTAAACAACCCCAGTTCCCTCAGCCGCTCCTCATAAGACTTGTGCTCCAGCCCCCTCACCAGCTTTGTTGCCCTTCTCTGGACACGCTGCAGCACCTCAACATCCTTCTTGTAGTGAGGGGCCCAAAACTGAACACAATAGAGAAGTGAACTATAGCTTTGTATGATACAAGTGAAGTAACATACCCTGAATGTTAAAATGATAAAAGAACTGTTAGGAAGTTGGTTTCTCACTAGAACTTAAAAATTAAAAATACAGATCTCACCATTTTATTAAGACAGACACTGACAGTTTGTAAAAAAAAAAAAAAAAAATTTCTAACATCCATAAAAGCTTCAGGCCAAAAAAAGTGAGGAATTGAAATAGCATCCCCCCACCCCCCGTACAGACACTGCAATACAAACTTCAGGGTGTTTGATTTAAATTGGCTTAATCTTGAAGTGTAGTCCAATAAGACTGAAGACTAGACACTTCAGGTCCTGGACCAGGTAGTAGAACACTCTCAAGCCTTCTGGATCCCTGCAGTGCACAAAAGAAGAAAGGAAGGAAGTTAAACTGATGTTTCAGAAGAGCAGTTTATAGAGCTAACCTGTTAAAAAAAAAAAAACCCAAAGCATATAGGGAGACTTTTCAGAGGTCATCTTAGACATTAACAGGTTTCATCTTGTATGGATTGATAAAACATTCTGCAGTCCATGTTTGCGACTTACAAGTCTCGACAAGATGTGTGTTTTTATCATGAAAGCAAGTAGTGACATCACTTTGAATTTACAAAACACGATATCCAGTCATTTCAGCTTAAGTGAAATACAGAATCCCAGAGACACTGGTGTGGACAAGCCAATGATAGTTTAGTTCAGACTCTGAATACACCTAAACAGGGGTTCCTACAGTAAGGTTAGATGCTTGGTGGCTTGAAAATACAGCATGTAATGTCACAGCCTAAAAGCTTCTGGTACATGACACTGGAACACAGAGCATTTGTGCCCCCAGGAACTGATCTGTACTTTAAAACAATATGAAATACAGGTACCTAATAATTGGCAAGTTCCAATATTGATTGTTACATAAAAACCACAGCAATATAAAAAAAACCAACAGAGTACATACTTGGACTGATTTACGTCAATGAGCGAACCGATTTTTGATGTGGTAAAGGAGATGTGCTCATCACCAATTACTATTTCAAGCTCCTGAAAAAGAAAAGATTATAGGAAATCAAACTACTGCTTTACAGTATTAGTCACAGGAATACTTAAGTACTGAGATTACGGCTATTCTGTTTTTGTTACAAAGGTACAGAATGCAGCACATCTGTTGATCACACTAACTCTGATGACTAAACTGGCAGTTAGGCACTGCACAGGTTGTAAAACACTATTTCTTTTCCTCTTGGCTAGCAACAATACTGACTTGGAAGAAAAAGTTCGGTTATGTTTGTCATGAGCTAACACATAAAACTTAAAGCAGCAGTTAGAAAAGATGCTGTACACCAACCTGCCGACCAACTCTGTCAGGAGGCGGCCATAGCGCATCATCTTCTTTTGTGATTTCGCTGTCGTCGATTATTCTCTTCAGCTCCTCCATCACGCTTTTATGCACGTAAGCCTACAAACAACATCCCAACGTGAAAAATCACCCCCCAGCGCTCCCTGGCACGCTCCCCTGGTTACTCTGCTTGCACAAACCACCGCACCACTGCTTCGCGTTGCTGACTTCCGACGCAGCTCCCGCCCGCCCGGGCCGGTCCCCCCTGCGCCGAGCAGCCCAGCAGCGGCCGCCTCTCCCTTACCTCCTTTCGGATCATGACGTCGTTCTTGTAGTTGCTGTTGTTGGCGTAGCGCAGCTTCCCTGGCGAAGACAGAACGGACGTTAAACCCCCGCCAGGGCAGCGCTAGGCGCGCAGCGCTCTCCGGCGGCACTCGGGTCCGGGCCCGCGTCTTCCCGGGAGCGGAGA